GAGAGAGAGAGAGAGAGAGAGAGAGAGAGAGAGAGAGAGAAATAAAAAAAGCAAATAGATAGGAGGGAGGAAAAGTATGCCTTCCCTTTGCTTCCCCAGCTGCCCTGCCGGGAGCCGCACAATATGTATGAAAGAGCCGCTTGTGGCTCCCGAGCCTTAGTTTGGCCACCCCTGGCCTAGAGCATCCCTGGCAAGTGTTTGTCCTGACAGACCCCAGTGGCCCTTTTAAAACCAACAAAGTTTAATTCTCAGCATAAGCTTTCATTTGCATGCCCGCTGCTTCAGATACACTCCTTCAAGTGTTTGTCCAGCCGCTGCTTGAAGACTGCCAGTGAGGGGGAGCTCACCACCTCCCGAGGCAGAGGGTGCCACTGCTGGACTACTCTTACTAGGCAAGTGAATTCTGTAGGAGGATACGACCAGCCCTGGGTTAACCATGAAGCAAAATAAGCACGTGCTTAAGGCATTAAGGGAAGGAGGGCACCAGAGAGGGGTTTAGGGGTTTTTTTGGCTTATATTGCTTACTGCTATTAAAGTTGTAAAGTACTGGGTTCGCCGCATGAAGGACTCGGACAACGACATGCGTTCACACACGTTTATTGTACTTCACACAGGAACTGAAAAACAGCCCTGCAAGGCCAACTATACACGCACACAACCAGCACACACACAGTCCCGTTGGAGGGTTTGAATTTCCCGCCAAAGCTGCTATTGGTGAATGCTGGGGGAACTAGGATCCTAGGTTCCTATTGTTTAGAGGAGCTAAGCTCCCGACTGTAGCCGTGGACCCCTGGTGGCGGTCCGCGTACATAACAAAGGTGTTAAGTAAATAAAAAATTTACTATAGTTGTAGAGTCTGGCCAGGGGGATGGCCTGGAAGAAAACTGAATTTTTAACCTCTTATTTCACCTTCAGCCCTTATTGAGTATTAATGTCTGTTCGGTTAAGCAGTGAAAGGCCTGAGGGGCATCATTGCTGGGTATTGCTTAGGGCACCGGTTTCCCTGAATCTGGCCCTGCATCCGACAAAATGTCTGAGCTAGTGTGGAGGTGGTCCAGATACCGCTTAAGAAAAAATACAGGAGGGGACCCAATTAATGCCTGCACTGCGAAAAGGCCTTTATTTGTCATAATGATGAAAATGAAGTTTATTCCTTGAGATACTTAGGCTTTTCAGTCTGTGGATTGTGTCTTTTTGAGAGTACGCACCCACAATTTGAATGAATTAATGAACCCAAGAGTTTAGTAGTTGCACAGTTTTAGGTATAAGAGGATTTACCTTTGCATATCTAAAGCAAATGCAGAAGTGTTCCTCCCCCCCCCCCCCCCCCCGGCCGCTGATAAAAGGCTGTGCTCCTCTTTGTTTTTTAAATAGCATTATTCTGCCCAAGGAAAGCAGTTTATCTGTACTTGGCTGCCAGTGATTCTGCTTTAATATTCAGAATGTATAAAGAGTTGGATTATATCATTCTGACATCACTGAAAGTGAATGCTAAACACATCACAGAGAACCCACTCGATTCATTATAGCCGGATTGTGCTGCACAAAGCGTGTATTAACGTTGTGTGTACTACAAGCCCCCAAATACATTATTAACAGGAATAGCACCCAGTTTAGCTTCTAGGAAACATTGTTAACGGTACCTATGCATTATTTTAAATACATTCAAGCAGCTTGCCGCGACCTCATTGAAGCTGGGATTTGTATCAGCGTAAGAAGCACGGGCCTCTCTTTTCAAGCACCTACCAGTGTAGTGGCAGAAACAATCAGCTGAATTTCCCACATAGCAGATCACCATTTCCATGCCATTCATGTGGTTTTGCGGCATTTTAACATCAGGGGCTATATGCAGGAACAAGGATCAAATTTAACATCAATTTTAACATAAGAACATTGGGAAAGCCCTATGGAATCAGACTAGTGGTCCATCTACCCAGCATCCTTTGTAACTCAGTGGCCCACCTGATGTCCCAGATTCCCAGCAAACAGGACATAGACCATAAGGCTGATATTTCCCCCTAGCTTGATGTTGCCTCCTTGAACAGGTATTAGGGGGTTTGCTGCCTCTGTGTATGGAATCATCGTGGCTAGAAGACTTTGATAGAACTCTCCTCCATGAAACTGTCTAAACCCCCTTAAATACCGTATAGGGTTGCCAATTTCCAGGTGGTATTCGATGACGTTCACTACACTCGTGTGGAATAATCCAATAATAGAAGGCAAAAACAAGTGTAGTAAACAGACTCACTACTTACAAATTGCCAAAATGCTAAAGAACATGTAATAAACAATAGTGAATACAAAGTGGCCACATAAGAGAAATACAAAATGGAAAACTTGTGTAATAATACACTACAACAGAAAAATCCACAGAATAATGGAGAACTACTGTAATAATGCGACGTTGTGTCCGGATGTTTGATTACAACGTTAATCAAAGTTAATCCTTCATCAGGGTGTTCTACAGTGAAATACACAACTTATTAAGAAAAGGAGAGCCATACAATAAACAGGCAAGGTCAGTGTACAAATCAAACCGACAGCTTACTCCTTTAAGTTGCTGTGGTTTTTGCCTTCTATTATTGGATTATATTTGCCTTCTATTATTGGATGGGTTTTTGCCTTCTGTTATTGGATTATAACCTCCAGGCAGTGGCTGGAGATCTCCTGCTATTACAACTGATCTCCAGGCGACAGAGATCAGTTCCCCTGGAGAAAATGGCCGCTTTGGAAGGTGGACTGTATGGCATTCTACCCCACGGAAGCCCCTCCCCAAGCCCCTCCCTCCTCAGGCTCCACCCCCAAAATCTCCAGGTATTTCCCAACTTGGAGGTGGCAACTCTAAAGCCATCTATGCTCATGGCCCATTGGCAGATATCTGACAATTTAATTAGAATGTAATTATTTTAATTACCAAATGCCTTTGCTTTTGTTGGGGAGACAATGACCTCAGTTTTGTCTCCGGTAATGAGGATCCAGAACAGAAGCTCCAGCTTTCGAATGGGATCCATGGAGTCGTGAAAGGGATGTCGTAACAGAAACAATAGTAATAGCAGCTGTCTGTTTCTCTTTATGCAGGCTGAAGTGGTGGATGTGCAGTATGGGACTGTGGAAGATTTGCTCAGGATTCCGGACATCACCAACATCACCCACAAAATCGCCCTTTTGAAACTAGGACATCTTCCTTTGCTCTATAAGGTCAGTGATGGGTCTGATGTGGACTCAGGAATCGTTGCTTTTTCTTGGATATTGAGTCACAGCTATTACGATGACCAATGTTCCCTCTAAGCTGTGGAGTCTTGTGAGCAAAAAATCTGCTTTGTGAGCTACTGGCATTAAAGTTGTGAGCCAGGGATTTGGCTCCTGCATAAATTAGTTTGCTCTGGAGCCCTCCTTCCTGAGCTGAGACAAAAATGTGTGAGCTGGAGGCTAAAAAACTGTGAGCTAGCTCACAGTAACTCAGTTTAGAGGGAACATTGAGTCGATGACTCCCAAGTTTGGACTTGGTCTTCTTCAGCTATATTCAGCTGGCTCTCTTCAGCCATTTCCTACTGTCGTTTTATCCTACATGTACTGCTCCCTGAATCCCTGAAAGGATTACGAATGCTGCGTGGCTGTCCATCTCTCTTCATTCATCTCTGTGGGAGTCACAGCAAGAGAGGTATTGGCTCGGCGACAAAGCAGATAAAGGGAAATTCAAGTTGTGATTAATAAATGTGAAACACATGATGAACCCAGAGTAAATACAGCATAGGAAAACCATAAATTATAACTAGAGTCAACTGGATAGTTAGGTGGGTACGGGATTCGTTGGAGAACTGCACTCAAAAGTCATGGTCTCACACGAGTTCTCAGTGGCATTTAATCTGAATGGAGGCAGGTGTCCCCTGAGGTGCCACAGGGCTTGGTTCTGGGCCCAGTACTTTTCAGTATTTTTATAAATGATCTGGATGAGGGTGTGGAGGGGCTACTCATTAAATTTGCAGATGACACCAAATTGGGAGGAGGAGCGAACACACCAGAAGATAGAATTCAATGAGGTCTGAACACACTGGAAAAGTGGGCAGATGTGAGCAAGGTGCAATTTAACAAGGAGAAGTGCCGAGTTCTACATCTGGGTAACAAAAATGAGGAACATGCATGCTGGATGGGGGATACAGTTCTGGGTAGCAGTATGTGTGAGCAAGATCTTGGGGTATGGGTTTAAATTAAGTGTGGGAAAGTACCGGCTGGATCTTAGGGAAAAACGTTTTTTACAGTAAGAGTGGTTCAACAGTGGAATCAGCTACCTAGGGAGGTGGTGAGCTCCCCCTCATTGGCAGTCTTTAAGCAGCTGCTGGACAAACCCTTCTCTAGGCTGATCCTGCACTGAGCAGGGAGCTAGAATAGATGGCTTCTACGGCCCCTTCCAGCTCTGTGATTCTATGATTCTGCAGATGGCTGGATTTCCTGTAGACCTGAATTGTGTTATGGATTGAATGTGCTTTGCATTCCACTTCTACCCCATTTTAACTTGGACACTTGTAACATGGAACTGGAGCATGTAGTCATACTTTCCACTGTATTTGCATTCTTCCCTGTTCCCCTCTATTCACCTGTGTGCGTGTTGCATTGCGGAAAGCGGCGGTGGTCATGCAGAGTTTTGTTATGGACAGGTATTTCATGAGCTGCAGAGGAAGAACCACTGCTTTACGGAGGTACATGGACAGAAGCATTTCTAGTGAAGGGTAGTGAAAAGTTGTTGTCCAGTCACAGCTGCGTTATGGCAAGCCTGCAGAGTTTTCAAGGCAAGAGACAAACAGAGGCAGTTTGCCATTGCCTACCTCTGCTAAGCAAATCCTGGACTTTCTTCCTTTTGTAACTTTTAGCCGTTTGTCCTTTTGAATTTGTAATATTATTTTTTTTCACACAAGCTCAGAAACTGGGCAACATGCACATGTTCTGGTGAGGGGGATCTCTTTCATAAAATGTGAAGTGATTTGGATCTGTCTGGAACTTCCGAACCTTTGGGCCCCACGACAAGCCAGCGGTCCTTGCTGTAGGGTTGCCAAGTGTTACCTTCCTCCGCAGCGGGGGATTCCTGGGCCGATCATGGAGCGCGCCGCATCCACATCAGCAGAAAGTGACGTGACAATGCCGAGCATGCTGGGGGCAGGGACACGACCATCCGAGAGAAAACCATAGAGTTTTCCCTCGGATGACCGTGGCCCCGCCCCCAGCGTGCCCGGCGTTGTCACGTCACTTCCTGGTGACGTGCACGTCGGGGCAGAGTTCCCCCCGGGGCCCAATCCGGCGGCGGGGGGGAATGGGCCTCTGGGGCGGGGTTTTCCTCGCCCCCCGGGGGGACTTGGCAAGCCTACCGTGCTGTGAGTGAGGCAGGCGTGAGCGGCCACCACAAGCTGGCAATCTCTGCCTCACACGAGGCACATGACCGTGAAGCAGCAGCTCTCACCCTGCACAAGACAGGCAGAAGTCATCACGACGAGCCCATGGCCCTCACTCTCTACCTGCTCTCCCTCCCTCCTTCCTTCCCTTTCCCCCTCCATTGTGGGGGGCAGAATATTGGCAGAGTTTAAACATGCAGAGGAATGGAGCATCAACTGTTCAAAGTTAAATACCTTGGTATATTAAAGGAGAAGTAAACTCTGATAGGAGAGGGAGAGAGGCTTAACTGACGAACTGATGTGAGAGACAGGAACGAAGGGGGAGGGCTCAGCTGGAGCAGGAAGTCTCCAGAAGAGCCAATCAGGAGACAGGAAGGACATAATTTGAAATTGTGGGAAGTCCCTGATTTAGCTATGCTAACTAGCAGCCCTTCAGCTGCCCCCTATAGGCTGTTCGTGTGATCTTCTTCAAGTAGGTGCACTATAGACCTTGTGTATTCCAACAGAGAAATTGATCATGTAGCCCTTTTCCAGGGCTGTTTTGTCATCCCAGCCTGCCCCTGTAAGCATGGGCTGCTAACAGCCCAGTCCCTTGTTCAGCTGCCCAAAAGAATTCATTACACCAATTAAGAGGACTCACAGATGTTCCAAAAAGGAGGCATTCTGTGGCACCTTAAAAACTCACATCTTCAGGTAAAAGTGTCTCAGACAGCAAGGCAAAAAATGATCTGTAGATAAAGCCCACAGGTAGGGTTTCCATTCTCAGTTTTGCCTTGGCAAATGCTGGGAGATTTGGAGGGGGGGCAGTATCTGGGGAGGTCAGAGTTCGGGGAGGATGTTGGTGTCACCCACAGGCCTGCATCCCCTAGTCTCTGTGGCCTATATTATAGAGACTAGGGGGGAATCCTAGAGTGTCACTCTGTGGAAGCCGTTTTTTCCCCCTCCCGCTCCTCAGTTCTCACCTTGGGGTGGGAAAATGGGATTTGAGGGCAGTTAATTCCCCATCCCCGGTGGGCAAATAGAAGGCCTACTCACAGGCCTACTTCTTTTCACAGCAGAGAATGCTAGACTGACTGGACCAGTTGTTGGAGTATAAAGCAGCTTCATGTGTTCAAGGATGCAACCCTGCAAACAGCGATTTGCCGTGCAAATGTATCTTAGTAAATATGCCTATGATCAGTCTACACATATAACTGATCCCCACCTCAAATGCAGGGTGTGAAAAAATTATCTTGAATAGAAATCAGTAGCAAATCTGCTTTCAGTTTTTAAAGAACTGTGTCTTCTTAGGTGCTAGGCAGCACAAAAGCAGGGACTTTTATTTACTTATTTTGTACTGGTACTGTGCTCTTTCCTCTCTCTTTTGACCCTGTCTTCCTGGCTAAGAAGGTCTCAGAACTGAAAGGTAAGCAGAATGGGACTCCCAAAACAGCTGGAGTTGCTTTAAGGCACATAACATCAGGCTGAACATGGGAATAAAATCACCTGCAGGCCTAGATCTGTGCCACTCTTATAGGTATGGCGCAGCAGATTCCTTTGCCCTGAATGCCAGTCACCAGGAGGAGAAGCTTCCACACCACTGATGAGCTGCGGATACGGTTGCCAACTCCAGGTTTGGTAATTCCTGGAGATGCGGGGACTTGGGAAGAGTGGTGGTTTTTTGGGGGGATGGACCTCCGTGGGGTATAATTAGGCTTGCAAGCTCCTTAGGAAATACCTGGAGATTTTGGGGGTGGAGCCTGAGGAAGAGAGGAGAAGAGATTGGATTTATACCCTGCCCTTCACTCGGAGGGTGCTTACAATCTCTTTTCCCTTCCCCACAACCAGGGCTCTAGTCGGGGGGGAGCGCTCCGGTACGGCGCTCCGGAAGAGAACCTCCGGGGGGCGGGGCAGTCACGTGCTGAAGCCCCGCCCCCTTCTTCACACCGCCCCCTGCTTCGATCCTCATTCTGCTGGAGAATGAGGACGAAGCAGGAGGGTAAGTAGCTGCCTTGCCTGCCTTGCCCCAACACTCCCTCTGCCTTTGCTTTCGCCGCTCCTGGAGTGGCGAGAGCAAAGGCCAGGACATCCCCCCCCTCTTTCTCGCTGCTCCGGAGCCCTCCGGAGCAGCGAGGAAGAGGCCCCAAACCCCCTGCTGCCTTTGCTTTCGCCGCTCCCGGTCCGGAGCTCTCCAGAGAGTGTTGGACTGGATGGGCCATTGCCCTGATCCAACATTGGCTTCTGTTATATGTTCTTATGTCTGAGGCAAGGGATGCTCTGTATTCTTGGTGATTGGGGGGGGGAACAGTGGGAGGGCTTCTGGTGTCCTGGTCGCACTGCTGGACCTCCTAAGGGCACCTGGTATTTTTGGCCACTGTGTGACACAGAGTGTTGGACTGGATGGGCCATTGGCCTGATCCAACATTGGCTTCTGTTATGTTCTTATGTCTGAGGCAAGGGATGCTCTGTATTCTTGGTGATTGGGGGGGGGAACAGTGGGAGGGCTTCTGGTGTCCTGGCCGCACTGCTGGACCTTTTTTTTTTGGCCTTCTGACACTTCCGGTGATGTCAGGGGGTGTGGCCTTCTGACACACTTCCGGTGATGTCAGGGGGTGTGGCCTTCTGACACACTTCCGGTGATGTCAGGGGGTGTGGCCTTCTGACACACTTCCGGTGATGTCAGGGGGTGTGGCCTTCTGACACACTTCCGGTGATGTCAGGGGGTGTGGCCTTCTGACACACTTCCGGTGATGTCAGGGGGTGTGGCCTTCTGACACACTTCCGGTGATGTCAGGGGGTGTGGCCTTCTGACACACTTCCGGTGATGTCAGGGGG